AAAAAAAATTTTTTTACATAAGAACTGAAAAAAAAAAAATATCCCCAGTTCCTAAAAAAAAAAAAAAAAAAAAAAAAAAAAAAAAAAAAAGTAAAAGGTACTGTCAGGCATGAACTGGTGGCATATGCCTTTAATTCCAGGGCTCAGGGCGCAAGCAAATCTTTTTTAGTTCAATGTCAGCCTGGTCTATACAAAGAGACCTAGGACATCAGGGCTATATACAGAGACCCTGTCTTTAAAAAAAAAAAAAAAACAAAAAAAAAAAACAGTTGATAACTGAACATGGATATAGGTAGACAGTTATTTTTTTCCTTTCATAGGTTTCTATAGTATGAGCACAAAAAATTTAAACTCTTACTGAGTGAAGTGGCACATGCCTACAATCCCAGCATTTAGGAAGCTGAGGCAATCATATAGTGTAATCCTGCCTCAAAGGACAAACAAACAAACAAAAAAACCCAAAAGGTGACCAGAAAACATGTCAATTATAAGAGATATATCAGAAATCTACATATAAAACAACAGAAAGAATAGAAACCAGTATGTGGGGCTGGAGAGACCGCTCAAAGGTTAAGAACACTGGCTGCTCTTCTATAGGTCCTGAGTTCAATTTCCAGCAAGCACATGGTGGCTCACAACTATCTATAATGATATCTGGCATGCAGGTATACATGCAGACAGAACACTGTATATATAATAAATAAATTTTAAAAGAGAAAAGAAAGAAACCAGTTATGTGGGGCCAGCAGTGTGACACACGCCTTTAATCCCAGCACTCGGGAGGCAGAGACAGGCGATCTCTGTGAGTTTGAGGCCTATAGAGCTAGTTCCAGGGCAGGCTCCAAAGATACAAAGAAACCCTGTCTTGAAAAAACAAAACAAAAAGAAGAAACTAGTATGTGTAGCAATGCATGCCTGTAATTCCAGCAAAGAGAAAGCATAGGCAGGATGATTAGTTAATCACATCCACATGGTGTGTTTTAAGTCATCCAGGAGTACAAACGGAGACTGGCTCCAAATAGAATTTTAAATGAAGATTAAGAAAAATATGGAAACTACAGAAGTATACTTAAGGATCAAAGGGGACAGAATATGAAAATCCTACGTACATTTAATTAAGAAGAAATCTCGGTGAGAATATCAAAGATGGGCACTGGCACCCACACCCCCGAGGGTAAAGCAGGAGGATCCTGAGGTTGATGAATAACAAAATAAGAAGGGAAAGAGAAAAGACATTTCTCCAGCCCCAGAATAAAATTCTAATATGCTTAAAGAAAAACAAAAAGGCAATTGAGGCCAGGTGGTGGTGATGCATGCTTTTTTCTCCCCTGGAGTTCACAGATTTCCCTAGACTGGACATCAAACCTGCTCTCTCCACTAGTGGTAGAATTATAGTCACATTGAGACATTTCCCCAGTTCTAAATTACTTCCTTCTAAATGAAGGCAATATGCTTAAAGAATTGCCAACAACAGAGAAAAAGATAAAGTGATGAGTAAAAAGGAAAAAGAAATAATCATCTCAACTTAGCTTTATGAATCTTTATGGGGCAAAGATCTAAAAAGTAAAAAGGATGCATGAAATCCTTCCTAGCCAGCTCTTAAAGAAAACTTATTTTAGAAATTAACAACAAACTAATTTTAAAAAAGTGTGTCACTTCATTTTTTTCTTTATCCCTTTTGATATCTTGAGACAGGGTTTCTCTGTGTAACAGTCCTGGCTGTCCTGGAAATAGCTCTGTAGATCAGGCTGGCCTTAAACTCACAGAGATTCACCTGCCTCTGCCTCCAAAGCACTGAGATTAAAGGCAAGCACCACCACCACCTGGCCTTCACTTTCTTTTTTTATATGATGGTATCTCACTATATTGCTGAAGCCAAACACAAACTCCTAGGTGCAAGCAATATTCTTTGCTCATCCTCCTAAGTAGGATTATAGGTGTGCAACATGTACCCAATTACATACATCAAACTTTTCAGGTTTTATTTATGGATGTGTACCTGCATGTATGTATGTGTACAATGTACATGCCAGGTACACTCAGGGGCCAGAACATGATGGATCTCTGAAACAAGTATTCTTAACCACTGAGTCATGTCTCTAGGTCACTTTCTATACTGTGGAACAGAAAGCAAGGGCCAGTGGGATGGCTATGTGGGGAAAGGTACCTGCAGCTAAACCTGACAACCTGAGTTAGATCCTTGAAATTCACTCTACAGAAGGAAAGAACTGACTCTCACAAGTTGTCCTTTGACTATGTACATGAGGCTGGCCTCAGAGAGATGTGCCTACCTCTGCCTCCTTAGTGTTAAAATATTTTAAAAACAACTTTCAAACTAGATTAAAAATTTTAACTAAATTAGAGATAAAATAATTCTTTAAAGGCATTTGAGAACTTGAGATGGCTCAGAGGTTAAGAGCACTAACTGCTCTTCCAGAGGACCTGGTTCAAATCCCAGCAAGCACATGGTGGCTCACAACCATCTGTAATGAGATCTGGTGCCCTCTTCTGGCCTTCAGGCAAACATGCAGACAGAACACTGTATACATAATAAATCTTAACAACAAAAAAAAGACATTTTGAATTTGTTTTGGGTCTGACAGTCTCAGTATGTAGCTCAAGCTGAACTATTCCCAACTATTCTACCCCAGTTTCCAAAGTACTGGGATTATAGGAATGTATACCCATGGCCAGTTCAAAAATCAATGTTTATAAAATTAGACATTTATATTATCTTAAGTCTACATATATATTTTAAACTTGCATGGTCCCTCAAGATTATGAAAATGCAACATCAGCTTCAGAGTAATGGGTTAGAGAACAGTATCCATACCTCTTCTTCTGGCAACATCTTTTTCTGACCATCTTTTACAGGAAATCCACTTCCAAAATCTTTTGAAGAAATATCAGCTCCATACTCTACAATAACATCTTCTTCAATACTACTTACTAGCCTCCAGAATTCCTTTTCTACTAGTTCTGTAGGAACCATCTATAAAACAAACAAACAAACAACCAAATATGATAAATAACTCATTGTAATTATAGTCCCCTAAAACATAATATACAGACCAAATGAACAAAAGCATGATAAAAACAAATCACCACATTTCCCAGAAAAAAATTAATTCCTATATTTCTCCACTAGAAAAGAGAAAAGCTACAGATAACTAAAAAGCTAAAAATAACTAAAATTTAAACATCAAGATGCTTCTCATATCAGTTGTGGTGTCGCACACCTTCCCAGCACTTGGGAAGCAGAGGCAGGCAGATCTCTAGAAGTTCGAGGCCAGCCTGTTCCTCAGAGCAAGTTACTGAACAGGCTCTTAAGCTACAGAGAAACCCTGCCTCAAAAAAACCAAACAACAAAAAAACCAAACCAAACCAAAGCGAGTGCAATTAACAAAACAGATTACCAGGTCCCTATTTTTAAGATTTAGTGTTTGATAACCTTTTTCATATTGTTCCTGATTTCTATAAACCTGACAGAAAAAAAAACTTTCCTTCTCTCTAAACGAACCTAATGACAGCTACTCACATGGACTGGCATATTGAAATAATCAGATTTAAAATTATCTGCCATCTCGCCGAAGCTTTGAAGTGTATATTCTCTTATAGCTTGCTCAAATCCAAAGGCTTCTCGAGGTTTGTTACATTCCTGGGAGGAGAAAAAGACATTCAAGGTAGGCTCATTGAAACTGAAAAAGAAAGCATTAAAACCCTCACATATGAAGAAATATGAATGGTAGCTCACTGGTATAATGCTCTCTGGCTCTGTGTTCAATATCCAGCAATACAATAAATAAAAGTCTCCAATATAGCTTTTCTTGATCATTTCTCTAGCTTAAACAAATCTAATCACCCTTACACAGTAAAACAAGTATCAGTTATTTGCAATTCATTAGTTACTTGAAACTAGAATCTCAACTGCATGTTCATTCTTCCAAGACAATGAATAAGTCAGCTTTAGGTACTTATTATGCTTTGCCTCCAAGACAAACCCAAGAGGAATACTAACTTGGACTCAAACATAAAGATGTTGACATTCTTAGCATCCATAAAGTAAATAAATATTCAAAGAGGAAAGAAAGGTTTGTGTATATGGTTTCTTCAAACTACCAGTCACCAGAAATTCAAATGCCTTTATGTTTTCTAATAGTAAACAACTAGTATTTAAAAGGCCATAAAAGCCTCTAACTGTACCTAGATATCCCAAACATTCCTTCTCTTCAGAGACCTATCATGATATTTTGTTAAAATAAATACAGACAAGGCAAGTCATAGCAACAGGATCATAAGCTCCAGGTTGGCCAGGGCTACCTAGAAAATCTTGTCAAGGAAAAAGAAGAAAGAGGAGAAAGAATGAAGGAAAAGAAAGGCTAAAAATAAATGTACAATCAAGTCAAATTTGCACAAGCTAATGGATGTATAAACCTCAAATTTTAGAGTTTTAGAGTTTCATGTCCAACTCTAGCTTTAATTAAAAGCAAGGGGCTGAAGAAATGGTTCAGCAATTAAGAATATGTTGCTCTGGCTAGAGAGATGGCTCAGAGGTTAAGAGCACTGTCTGCTCTTCCAGAGGTCCTGAGTTCAATTCCCAGCAACCACATGGTGGCTCACAACCACCTGTAATGAGATCTGGTGCCCTCTTCTGGCCTGCAGGCAAACATGCTGACAGAACACTGTACATATAATAAATAAACTTTAAAACAAACAAACAAAATTCCATGGGGCTGGAGTTAAGAGTACTAGGTATTCTTCCAGAAGGCCTGGGTTTACTTCCCAAAACCCACATGGCAGCTCACAACCATCTATGATTCAAGTTCCAGGGGATCTGTGATAGTCTGCAATAGTCTAAGGTATTTGAATGCTTGCACCCGGTTGGTGAAACTGTTATGGTGGGAGGCTTAGGAAGTACGTCACTGGAGGCAGGCTTTTAGAGTTCAAACATGTGCTATTTACTTCATTCTCTTTTCTTGAAGTCTGTGGTTCAATGTGTGAAGACTCAGCTTTATGCTCTGATAGCCATGCCCGCTGCTTTGCTGTATATTTCTCTGCCATGACAGACTTTTACCTATCTGGAACCATAGTCCAAGCAAACTTTCTTTTACAAACTCCCTTTGTTAATAATAAATTTGTCAATAACTAATACTGGATGTGATGCCCTCTTGTGGCCTCCATAGATACCAGGCATTCATGTGGCACAAAGATACAAATGCAGGGGGCTGGAGAGATGGCTCAGAGGTTAAGAGCACTGACTGTTCTTCCAGAGGTCCTGAGTTCAATTCCCAGCATCCACATGGTAGCTCACAACCATGTGTTATGAATCTGGTGTGCAGATATACATGGAAGCAGAATGTTGTATACATAATAAAATCTTTAAAAAATATATATATAAATGCAGGCAAACAACTACACACCCCAAAATTAAAGTATCTGTAACTTATCTTAATTTTTATTCAAGCAACGTAAATAAGGAGGCTGAGGCAAGAGGATTCCACTGTATTTGAGGCCAAACAGCATAAGATCTTTTTTAAAAAAAAAACAACAATGGAGCTGGAGAGATGGCTCAGTGGTTAAGAGCACTGACTGCTCTTCCAGGGGACCTGGGTTCAGTTTCCAGCATCCACATGGTGGCTTGCAACTGTCTGTAACTCTAGTTCCATAGGACTGAAAACCCATGGCAAAACATTAAAATGCATATAAAATAAAATTGAGCCGGGTGTGGGTGGCATGCGCCTTTAATCCCAGCACTCGGGAGGCAGAGGCAGGAGGATCTCTGTGAGTTCGAGGCCAGCCTGGTCTCTAGCGCGAGTGCCAGGATAGGCTCCAAAGCTACACAGAGAAACCCTGTCTTAAAAAAAAAAAAAAAAAAGAAAGAAAAATCCTATTTTGCAAAAAATAGTATTTACAAAAGCCTTACATACAAAGCTTTGTGCATAAGATCACATACATACTATAACAAAAGCTGAGTCTTATTTCAATAATCTGGTGTTTAGTTACAAAATTTCAGGAAATTTTGCATTTCATATTTGTGGTTTTGTTAACAAATACACAAAGATTTGATAATCACTTGTAAGTATTTGCTAATCCTTGATTTTGAGAATTGGTTGTGAGCCAGGTAGTAGTGGCACACACCTTTAATCCCAGCGCTTGGAGAGGTTGAGGCCAGTCTAATCTACAGAGGGAATTCCAGCAGAGCCTGTCTCAAAACAAAAAACCAAAAAAGAATTGGTATCTTCTGAAAGTAGTCACTATGTCAGAGACTCCTTAAATGTAATGCAAATCATTGTTTCAAGTCTAGGAAAGAACTACTATACATCTAAAAGATGAATAACATCAAGTAAACCAAGGGCTTTGGCTCTTGGTAATTTAGTTTTTGAAATTGTATGTGTATGAGTATTTTGTTTGCATATGTCTATATATACCATTTGTATGCTTTGTGCCTGAGGAGGACAGAAAAGTGTGTATGATTCTCTGAATTTAGAATTAGAAACGGTTGTGAGCCACAATCGTTTTAAGGTTCTGGGAGTCAAACCTGGGTCTTCAGAAAAGCAGCAAAAACTGATGAGCCATCTCTCCACCTGCTTAAAATACTTTTATATATATGCTTAGTTCTATTCACATTTTTTAAAAAGATTTTATTTATTTATTATATATACAACATTCTGCTTCCATGTATATCTGCACACCAGAAGAGGGCACCAGATCTCATAACGGATGGTTGTGAGCCACCATGTGGTTGCTGGGAATTGAACTCAGGACCTCTGGAAGAGAAGTCAGTGCGCTTAACCTCTGAGCCATCTCTCCAGCCCCTCTATTCACATTTTAAACTGTTGCCATTTATTCAATGAAATAATTTACAATTTAAAAAAATCTTACTCAACTAAAAGCAACAAAATTATCTAACCAGTGGGGCAGTGGTGGCACACACCTTTATTACCAGGGATAGGGAGGCAGAGACAGGCAGATCTCTGTTGAGTTTGAGGCCAGCCTGTTCTACTAAGTGAGTTCCAGGACAGCCTCCAAAGCTACAAAGAAACCTTGTCTCCAAAAAAACAAAAACAAAAAAAAGCAACCAACCAAAAATCATCTAACCAGAAGTCAGAGAAGGAAAAAATTAAGATACCACAAAACAGTTGTTACACATTCATACAAAATAGTTCTTTAAAATTCTGGAGATTTTTCAACAATAATGAAGAAACTGGGACAAGCTTTTGGGAACATGTTTACATTATATGCATAAATTAGTATCTTTAGTTTTAAATGATCTGTAACATTAAATTTGTACCTCAGCAACACATTTAGGACACCTCCAGTCTCCTTTGGGCACATCAGGTAGTGGTGGAAGTAGACAAAATGTATGATAGCTGTCATCACATCCATCACACAAAAGCAATTTATCCTCATTGTTTCCCCGACCACAGAACATACAAACATAGAGATCAACCTATAAAGATAAATAAAAATAAGTAATTTTCTACTGTATAGTGTTATATTTTTCTCATGAACTATTTCTTAATTAAAATAATGAACACTAAAAATTAAACATAATTAATCCTAAAAAAATGTATTTCAAACCAAACAATTCTCCCCAGAACTTCTACAGGCAAATTAGCAAAAATATAAGCTGGAGTCAGAATCCCGGTGGTGGTGGCACAAGTCTTTAATCCCAGCACTCAGGAGGCAGAGGCCGAGGCGTGGATATCTGTGACTTCAAAGCCAGCCAGAGATACACAGAGAAACCATCTTAAAAAACAGAAAAACGAACACATAAACAAAAAAAGAAGCTGTTAGAATCAAGAAACACTATAATCTAGGGAATAAAAAATAAGTTTATAGTTAAAAATCATCACTCATCCTACATAAAAATACTATAATACAGAGTGAATACTGAAAACTGCCTATTAAATACCCCATACCTCAATTATTTTTAAGAATTCTTGGAGAGGGGCTAGAGAGATAGCCCAGTGGTTAAGAGTACTGGCTTTTCTTTCAGAGGACCCAGGTCAATTCACAGCACCCACATGGCAGCTCACAACTGTCTGTAACTCCAGTTCCAGGGGATCTGGCATCCTCACACAGACATATATACATGCAAAATACCAATGCCTCCCCCAGAATAAATCATCTCTAGATTAGTTAGATTAAATTTATGTAAATGCTTTTGAAATTGCCACACTATGTTGTTTAGTAAATAATGCAAAAGGAAAAAAAAGTGGTTGTGATGGGCTTTCTGATGTATGCCTGTGATCTCAGCATCCAAGAGGTTAAAGCTCATATTTAAGGCCATTTAGCTTTCACACTGAGTTCTAGGCCAGCCTGGGCTATATGGCCAGAACCTTTCAAAGGAAAGAAAGCAAAGAAAAAAAGCTCTACACTGTTCAGCATAGAAACAATTTATTACTATTATTATTTTTTTAAAATGTGTATTAGGATTTTCAAGAGGCCAAAGGCCAGAGAAGCAGGCATCAAATCCCCTGCAACTAGACAATTGTGAGCTACAATTTCAGACAGTTGTGAATTGCCAGGTGGGTGTTGTGAATGAAACTCAGATCTTCTGGAAAAGCACCCAGTATTGCTTAATCACTGAGCATCTCTCTAGTTCCAGAAACAATTTTTAAAAGTTTTCAATCTATGGTTGGTTGAACCCATGAAGGTAGAACCTAAAGATATAAAGGGCTAATTATATACAGATTTATGTTCACTTCTTTAACTCAGTTACCCACAGGCATATGATTTATGGGAGTGTACAGGAGACAACGAAAAGTTAGCATTACATAAACCAAAACTCCAACCTGAGATTTTCTACCATGTCTTCTAATCAAACACAATAACTGAACACCATGTATCAAGATACACCAAGATAAAAATATATCCTTTCCCTCCTGACAAATCCCAAAGCACTTACAAAGTTAACAGAGAGGGTTCCTTTCCGTTGTCTCATTTGCATGTTAAATGCATCTGACTTGTTGGTAACTTTTCGTCTTCGGGTGACCTCATCTTGAAATAAAGTTATACAATAAAAGTAAAAACTAAAGTTGAGAACTTACTAGCGACCACACACTATTTAAAATTATTTAAATTAGATAAAGTCTCACAACATTATGAGGTAGACAGTGTCTGAAAATAAAAAACTTTTAAGTATAGAGAAATTAGATAACTTGCTCAAGATCATATAGCCAGTATATAGGTTGGAGATTCTAATCTAGACAAATCCAAGAAGTTAAACCTTCAATGACTGCCTGCATCCAGTAATTACTACATACTGTCTATATGTATGCTTTATAGGGGCTCTCAAATTAGTCACAGACTTTTTTTTTTTTTTTTAAAGATCACTACGGACAAAACAGTAAGTATAAGAATGGCACAAGGTCAGAAATGGTGAGCACACCTTTAATTCCAGCACTAAAAGGAGGCAGAGGCAGGAAGATTTGTATGAGTTTCAGGGCAGATATAGCATGTTCTAGCACAATGAGACTGTGTTACAAAAAAAAAAAAAAGAGTAGAGCTAGGCATGGTTGCTCACATCTAAATCTCAGGTGTGTGAGGCGAAACAGGATTGTCAAAAAGAATAAAGAACACACAAGAACAAAACAAAGGTTTTTGTTGTTGTTATTGTTTTCTTTTTAAAGAGGTTAAAGAGGGACTAACAAAAATAATTTTAAAAAGCATGTCTGTTAAGTATTATTATACTGATTGTATGTTGTTGTTTTTCATTTTTGTCATATTAGAAAGATTCTGTATATGGTAGGCAAATATTCTACCATAGCTATATCTCTAGCCCTTTTAAATGCTCCTTTGTCTCTCCACATTGCCCAGATTGGCCAGAAGCTCACCCTGTAGGCCAGGCAAGCCTCAAATCTATATTCTCCTGTCTCAGCCTTCATAGTAGCTGGAATTACAACAAACCTTCACCAGGCCTGGGTATCCCCAGTTTTGAGAGTGGAACAATATTATCTGATCCCTTACAATTCAGGCCACATTATATTATACACTTCAGAAATGCAGAATAATGTGTGACTTTAGTATTTCATTGAATTCTTATAGTCAAATATATCCAGACTATTGTTCATTGAAACAAGTTTTTTTTCTCCATTTTTTATTTGAATTAGAAAGATTGCTTTACATGTCAACAGAAACAAGTTTTTAAATTAACATGTTGTATAGGAATAGTTCAACTTGAGTTTTTGCAAATTTTTTTTGCAACAATTCTACTCACAAAAGTTTCTAATATGGTGCTAAATTAGGCTCTTGAAGACAATTTATTTCAATAGTATCATAACATATAGAGAAAACATTTCAAAAATTTAATGATTGTCAGAGTTTAAAGTTCTAACCTCTTCACAGTATGTTTTCATATTAAAAGTCTGAGAATCCCTTCAATTTAAAAGTAACTTTTAGAACACAACCGTAATCATTACTGAAACTTAACTAGACACTAGATGAAATTTTCATGTTGTATGTTAGACATGGAATACATACGATTCTTCTAAAAGTCAAAAAATGCAATGTAATATTTGTTTCTTACACATTAAATTCAGTATTTCTACCATTAAAAAAGCCAGTCTGCGTTAAAAAACAAAACAAAACAAAAACATGTAGCAAGTTTACAAATGTTAAGAATTCCCAGCACTGGGTGAAATTCAAGTATCACTTGAGCCTTTTAATTACCATGTCATTGTACTTTATTTTATACACAAGTAACAGATTTTACCTTCTTTGTCTTTTGCTCCAACCGCCAGGCCCACAACTTTGGGTCCAGCCCCAAAAATCTGAAGTTTCTTCAGTTCTGTGTTCCTGTTTACTTCTCCAGAGTCTGACTAAAATCGAATAAACAAAATGAATATTAGCATAATTACTCTCAATCACGCAATTAGTTTTAAGATAGGGTGTAAGATAGGTGGTAATGGGTACACCTTTAATCCCAGAACTTGGGAGGCAGAGTTAAGTCGATCTCTATGAGTTGGAGGCCAGCCTCAGCTACAGAGCCAGTTACAGGACAGCCAAGGGTATAACACTAGTTCTAATAAGTCTTAATAATAAAAACCTGGAGTATGAGGGGGAGGGGTGCTGAAAGATAAGAGAAGTAAAGGAGCCAGCCACAAGAGAGACCTCTTACCTCTACTAAATCCTCAGACCAAAGAGGTGATCCTGTACCTACAAATCTTCAGACTGAATGATCTGATTGCTTCAGACTATCTGTTGCTCAGACTGCCATGAGCTCCTGTCTCCTCCCATCTTATATTCCTCTCTCCCCAGCCTTATGCCTGTTTCTGCCTCCTTTGTGCTGGGATTAAAGGTGTATGCCACCACTGCCTGGCCTCTATGGCTACTTAGTGTAGCTAGCTTTGCATTGTGATCTTCAGGCAAACTCTATTTGTTAGATCATAAACAAAATATCACCACACAAGGCTATACAGAGAAACCCTGTCTCAGGGAAAGGAGGGAAGAGAGAAAGGAGAGAAAGAGAAGAGAAGAGGGGAGGGAAGGGGAGGGCAGGGAGGGAGGGAGGGAGTTGGGTTTTGCAATGTTGCTCAGCCTTGTCACAAACTCTTGGACTTCAACAATCTTCTTAATCTGCCTCCAAAGGATCTAGGATTATGCATTTTTTTTTTTTTATCTAATACAACAATCCTCCAAAATGAAGGGAAAAACTGAATGATGAATTGGTTGGTTTGGGTTTTTTTTTCTGAGAGTGTCTCATTCTATACTCTAAGCTGGCCTCAAACTCAGAGTTATACTCTTGTCTCTCAAATTCCAGGAATACAAATATGAGCCACAATGCTCAACTTGATTTCCTTCTAAATCTACTCACTGCTTCTGTTATAACAGTTTAGAAGTCTCCAAAGCACTACGCAACCTTCAGATTCCTTTCAACTAAAATTCACCTATGTCTCATTAAAGATTTATGTCCCATCAGTCCCGGTAGACAGTACTTTTTAAAACATGTTATTAATTTTGTTAGGGTGCACATATGGAGGTCAGAGGAGACAACTGGCAGGACTTGTTTTTCTCTATTCTCATATGGGTAAAGAAAGGGTTCAGGGAACCAAACTCAGGTCATCAGCCTTGATGGCATCTTTACCCACTGAGTCATCTCTTTGATCCAACACTATTGATTATTATGGAACAGAAAGTCCCACTTATAACAAGCTTACGAATTTATGGGAGAGAACTGGCCTTGTCTTCTGGTGCGTGCATGCGTGTGCGCGCGCACGCGTGCGTGTAGGGGTTTTTGAGTGTTCAGAAGCCTAATTTGTGCACAAGGGGCCTGTTGATTTACAGCTGTCAGAGAAAGAGAATCAAGTAAACAATATCATAACAACAACAAAAAAAGTCCCACTTATAATTTGCTAGCTGACATCTGCCCATCACAGGGAAAATTAAGGCTCCCCTAAACAAGCCATGTTAATACCTCTTTGTTGTGATGACATAACTAGGGTGAAAATGTTGAACAAGTTTTAACTGATGACACATTAAATTTCCAGGAAGCCTGTGGGAAAGTTTTGGGTTTTTTGTATGTTTTTAAACTTCTAGTAAAACAGACAGCTCCTAAGCTACTGAGATACCAATGGATACAGGTTCTTGCTGCCTGTGAAGACTCACAACCTGATTCTCAATTTCCTAGAGCCACATGGTGGAAGGAGAGAATGGACTGTTGATAGTTGTTCTCTGACCATAACATGAGCACAGAGCAAAGGTGGTTGTGGTGCACACCTCACGCACGCACGCACACGAGCGATGGGAATGAAGGGCTAGAGAAAGAGCAGGGAAGTTAACTAAAACTAAGGATATATGAAAATGCCACATAGAAAAATTATTTTGTAAGCCAACTCAGACAATGAGGGGAGGTGTACTGCACGGGTGGATAATACAGCTCCTAGAAGCCGTAAGTTATCAAACAAAAATCTTAATGCCGGATGAAAGATATTGATCTGAGTTACATGTTGGTCAGAGAGGCCCCAGAGGCTCCCAAGACAATACAACCTATTGCCTATAATACTCAAGCCTGCACACAAGCATGCCTACATACATATATACACACATAAAAAAGCATGAAGAAACAGGAAAGCTATGCACAGAAAAAAATTGTAAAATATTTCTTTAAATACATAGTTCTATATGGCATAGGGGAAGCTCAATCTACATCTATAAAGTAACACAAACAGCTCTAAAAATAAACCCTGGCAGTCTAAACCACAAGGCAAGCCCACTGTTGTCCCAAGCCCTAACTCCAGGGTGACCACGTGGTGCCCAGTGACTCTTCCTGCACTTCAGGCAAGTATTAGAGAAGAAATCCGGTTTGTTATTCCTCACTATCTTGGAATGCTATATAGCATGACAACCTGAGTTGTGTGCTGGGCCACATATGATAAGAGAATTGACTTTCAAAAATTGTCCTCTGACTTCCACATACATATTATGGTATGTGCACACATGCACGCACACACACAAAACTTTTAAATGGCCCATGGACATTGAAAAGTACCTGAGACTTGACACGTCTTGTTCTCTTCGGCGGAATATTCATTCTTGTTCCCCGGTCTGATGAAGGCTGGAGATCAGTGCTGAGAACCTCAGCCTCAACTTTTTCTTTATTATCTAAGTCAGGCATTTGTACACCCTAAAAGAGAAGTATACAAAAAGAGAGAAAATTCACTAATAAGTTTGAGAATGAGTGGAAAATTAGGAAATTTGGTTCAGTAAATTGCTAGCACTACATGAAATCAGATGGCAGTTCTGACCTCAAATTCAACTATTGGCTCAAAGCAATCCCTGAGAAAGCCAACTTCTGTTTTGTTTTTCAGAGTGTCTTTCTTATGTCTTCCATTAAGACACTGGCCTGGAACTCCATATATAGCAGAGAATGATTCTGAAGTTCTGATCCTCTAATATTATAGGCATGCACCAGCACATCAAGTTACCAATGGGTTTTGTCTGCCTGTATTTTTAAACATGCCCAGTGGGACTTCCCTTTATGGAAATTGAAAGCAAACACTAAAATTTATGTTAAAATGCAAACTGTTTAAAAATAATGAAAAGGAAAAAAAATTAGAGAACTTACACTACTAGGTATCAAAATTTACTATAATACAATACTGAACATAAAGCACTAAGGGTTAGGAGTGGCTCAGCCGTTAAGATCATTTACTGCTCTTAACAGAGGACCAAGTATATTTCCCAACTGCCTATGACTCCAGCTCCTGAACAATCCAACCTGTCTGACCTCTGTGGGCACCTGCACTCCTTTGCACACACCCACATACAGATATACACAAACAGGACTGGAGAGATGGCTCAGCCATTAAAGGCTAGATTCATAACCAAAACCAGACATGAAAAGACCTTTAAAAAACAAAAAGATAGTAGTATTGGTAATGGGGTAAACATATAGAATAGTTCCTCCTATCTGTGAGGAATGTGTTTCAAGCTCCCAGTAGATACCTGAAATTGTGGAGTGCTGAACCCTATGTGCCTTTTCTGTACATTTATAGTTAGAATACACTGTTAAACAGCTGGACATTGGTGGAGGCAGAGGCAGAGGCAGAGGCAGAGGCAGAGGGATCTCTGAGTTTCAGGCCAGCTTAGTGTACAAAGCAAGTTCCAGCACATCCAGAGTACACAGAAAAACCCTATCTCAAAAAACCCCCTAACCCCCACCAACAAAACAAAACAAAACAAAACACACCAAAAAACAAAAAGAACTATAAAAAAAGAAAAAGAAATCAATGGGAAATTAAATCTTCAAACATATCACTATAAAACTGTCAGATACATTATCACAAAATATTTACAAATAATGTATCTGAAAAAAGATGTATCCAGAATAAATATCAAACCCTTACAAGATTAGGGCAACAACTCAATTTTAATGAAAAAAGATATGAGTAGACACTTCCTGAAGATTACATCAATAGAGGGAGCTAGAGATGGCTCAGTGTTTGAGAGTATATGCTGTTCTTACAGAGGACCTGAGTTCTGTTCCCAGCACCCATATAGCAGTTCACAACCCTCTGTAACTCCAGTTCCAAGGGATCTGACACCAGGCATGGTGCACATAAATTTATATAGGTAAACACTACTACACATAAAGTACTTTTTTAATGTTTTAAAGATGATTAAGGGAATAGCTAACATAAACATAAAATAAAAAGAGCAGTGATATCACCACTCTTTGAGAACAAAAATCAAAACTGCAACCAGAGTCTACTACATACAAAAAAGTCAACCATATCAAATGCTTGCTAGAACATGGAGAAGCTAGATGCCTCTACACTACTGGTGGATGAATATAACACAGCACAGGCACTCTAGTAATTTCTTAAAGCACAAGAAATATATTTTAGTCAGTAAAGTTAAATCCTTCCAAGCAGAATGAAAGGAGTTTGATATCCAGAGCCCCCATTAAAACCAAAACCAAACAAACAAAAACCCAGCAGTAGCTGGACAAGGTGAGAAGATAGGAATGGGAAACTACTTGGGGCTTGTTGGCTAGCCAGTAAAGCCTACTTGAAAAGCCAATGAGAAAGAAGAATGTTCAAGATGGACCCATTATACCACTCCCAAAAAGTTTTAAAGTTACAATAAGCAAGAACTCAGCTAGAAGCTTTCTTCAGATTGGCTACTTTTCACAGTGCTGGAAGGTGCTATACAGGTTGCTTCAGGGACTTATCAACGACAACCTTATTCAGTGTGAATCCTGCATGCTTCACTACCAACTTGCTAGACCTGACGGGCCTACTAGTATAATAGTGGCATGACAGCTCACTTTGAGGACTGTTCCACAGAAAGGAAGTCACCTTTGACGTTATACACATAATCAAAAAGCCTATGCCTGGAAAGGGTGTTAGACCCTGAGGAATTTACGCTGTTGTTTTGCTAAATGGTCAGGACATGCCTGTCATATTGAAGATCATATATTAGTGCTGTGATCTGCTTTGATCAGAAAAGCTTCTTTTTACAGTGTGGTGGTTCCTGCAAAGACTCATAACTTGTCAAAGTGCTGAGAATAAGAAGAATAAGAGGCTATTTAAGGCTCAGCCTCAAAAAGAACCTATGAAATGCCTACTTTCAGGTCTAGACAACATTAGAAAAGAAGAATTGGGGCTATGTATACCAGCTCACACTTTTAGTCTCAGCACTCAGAAGAGGAAGGTGGATCTCTATGAGCTAGAGGCCAATCTAGTCTACCAAGTGAGTTCCAGGCTAGTCAAGGCTACGTAATCAGACCGTCTCAAAAAAAAAAAAAAAAAAAAGAAAAAAGAAAAAAGAAATAGCCCAAAACAAAACCCGAAATCATGAAGTTCTTAAATATGATGACACACTTCATTCCCATTATCCTTTACCCTGAAAATCACTAGAAATAGCTCTAATTTTTCAACTTTGTCTTCTCAAATTTTGGTGCATTCAGAAAACTATCCTCACTTTGCTATGGATAAATGTATCGATTACAGTAACTATCATTTGAAGTTTATACTTGTCAAATTAAATTTACCCACTGTTAAGAACAATGATGCATCTTACCATAAGGCTGACACCAGACTGGAAAAGCTCATATGGGTAGAGAATTCTTTCATAGTGTGACTTCAAAAGAGAACCAGTTCCTTTTCCTGGCAGATATCCCAAACGGCTACCCACTTTAGACCATTTCTTCTCTTTGGTGACTATTTCAAAACCTCCTTTGCTGGCAACAATCTGAAAAGGAAATAGGAATTCTTTAGGGAAATATGTTAGTTGTAGGCATCCTAACTTCTATAATCTCAAAAGATAAAAGCTCTCCCCTCCCCCAACAGTTGGTAGAGTGTTTGCCTGGTATGCCTGAAGCTCTAGTTCCAGAAAACCTGTGTGGTAGTACATCTCTAATTCCAGCTCTCAGGAGGTGGAGGCAGGACGACTTTTGACATTCAAGGTCATCTTTGGCTACACAGTTAAGTTGGAGGCCAGACTGGGATACATGAGATCCTGACTTTAAAAATGAAAATGTAGGCCAGCAAGATGGTAGAATCTTGCTAACAGGCATAATGATCTGCGTTCCATCCCTGGAACCCACATGGTAGGAGAACCAGTTCCTACAAGTTGTCCTCTGATCTCAACAAAACACTTCATGTCCAAGACTGTGTGTGTACATGCTGGGAAATGAAACCAGGTCCTCTGTAAGAGCAACCAGTGCTCTTAACCACTGAGCCATCTCTCCAGCCACCAAAAGAGAATTCTTAAAAGAAACTTCTAAGGGCTAGAGAGGTAGCTCAGTGGTTATAATCAATTGCCATGCAACTGTGAGGACCTGAGTTTGCTACTAGCACCCATGTAACAAACTAGGTACGGTTACAAGTGTACCTGTTACTCCAATGCTGTAGAGAACAGAGACAGGAGGGTTGCTAGGGCTTGCCAGCTTCCAGTTTAATCAAAAAACTAAGTTCCAGGTTCAAAAACTTAGTTTTCAAAGTTTTGACTCAAAGAAGTCAGGAAGTGGTTCTCAACCTCCCTAATGCAGCAACTCTTTAACACAGTTCCTCATGTGATTCCCAACAATAAAATTATTGCATTGCTACTTCATTATTGCAATTTTTCTACTGCTATGAATTATAACATAACTATCTGATATGCAAGTTATCAGGCACATGACCAGTGTATGGGGGTCTGCCCACAGGATGAGAACCCCTGGAGTAAGGCACAGGGTGATATACAGGAACACCCAATGCCCTCCTCTGGCTTCCAATGCACACACAAAAGAAATTTTATGGGCCAGGCATGCTTTTTTATGCCTATGTATATTTGATGCCACTGATGGCAGGGTTGGGGACATAGTTTAGTGGGATGGCATATGACCTCCAAACATGCACTATGCTGCATGCATGTGTACAGACACACAAAGTCAGAGGCCAGCATGGTCTAAATAGAAAATTGGAGGCCAGCTATATAGGGAGACCCTGTCTCCAAAAAAGAATGAATGAACTGATCATTAAAAAATAAACAAAATAGCCGGGTGGCAATGGCCCATGCTTTTAATCCCAGCAGTCGGGAGGCACAGGCAGGTAGATCTCTGTGAGTTCAAGGCTAGCCTGGACTATATATATAAAGTGAGTTCCAGGACAGCCAGGGCTATTACACAGAGAAACCCTGTCTCAAAACAAACAAAACAAATACAAAAGAAAAATTATTTAAAATTCTTTACTTCATGAATCACAAACCTCTGCTCAATTTCTTCATGGGAGGACCTGGCACACAAACTAAGGAAGTACTCATTATCACTGAGCTATATTTCAGCTCCTGTTAACCGTCTAAGCCAAGCATTGGTCTCACCTTGCTTAAAGCATACAAATCCAGGATTTTTCTCTCCACCACAGGGATCTTCAATGTAGATCCTTGAAGCTCCCAAAACTTTGCCAGTTGATCCAAAAAGTCCAATCTCACTCTAGTCATTGCCTAAAATTATTAAAATACAAAAATCAAAAACATAGGGCTGGGGATAAAGCATGGTGGTAGATCATTTGTCCAGCATGTTCAAGGCCCTAGATTCAATTCCCAGTATATCGAGAAGCAAGGGAGAAAGCAAGGCCAGCAAGAGGGTTTAGCAGGTAAAAATACTTGCCAACAAAGTCTGATGACCCGAGTTCAACACTTAGATCTCACTATAAAAGAAGAGTAGTGTTGAACTTGGGTTGTTTGGCTGTCTGAAAAGATTTGGTAAACTGGATGTTAGCAGGCCTGGACACAGAAAACAGTCAACACAGCAGAGTTTCTACTATAGAAGCACAATGACAATGTGAATACTGATAGAGTGTCAGATCCTCTAGAACTTGAGTTACAGACAGCTGTCAGCTGCCATGTGGGTGCTAGGAATTAAACCAGGGACCTCTGGAAAAGCAGCCATTGCTCTTAACCTTTGAACCATCTTACCAGCCCAACCTATCTTTTTTAATAAAGTTCTTTGCCTCTCCTTCCATTTAAGGCCCTGTTATGTTGTTTTTAGTTCATTTTGTTGTTGTGGGTTTTTGTTTTTTTTTTTTTGGTGACATGGTTTCTCTGTGGCTTTGGAGGCTGTCCTGGACCTAGCTCTTGTAGATCAGGCTGGTTTCAAACTCACAGCAATATGCCTGCCCCTGCCTCCTGAGTGCTGGGATTAAAGACGTGCGCCACCACTGACCAGCTTATTGCTGTTTTTAATGTGAATGGTGTAGTATGCCCATGGATACTAGAAGAGGGCATCTGATTCTCCTGGAACTAGAGTTCCAAAGGGTGGTAAACCACCATGTGTATGCTGGAAGTCCAACCCAAGGCCTCTGAAAGAGCAACAAGTGTTCTTAACCACTAAGCCATCTCTCCAGCCACTGTTAAGCTATTTTAAATGTAATTCTGTTTCTAATGCTCTCCTACCTAAAGGCACAATCATGGTCTATAGGCCCTTTCTCCTAATAAACTTCATTCCTACAGAGTAATTTGTCAGCTCCTTTCCTGAACCAACCCCTGCTGCCTCCATTTTTATATCTAACAATGTGAAAATACTGTAATGAACAGGACAGCCTCCAAAGCCACAGAGAAACCGTGACTCGAAAAACCAAAAAAGAAAAAAAGGAAAAAGAAAATACTGTAATGAAATCCATTATTTTGTATGCTATCTAACATAAATTTAATTAGGAAAACAAACTCCTGAGTTTGGAGCTGGGCATCACAGCAAAAGCCTTTTGTAATCCGAGCACACTCAGGAGACTGATCATGAGTTCAAAACTAGCCTGGGCTACATAAGTTCTAGACTAGACCATATTGGCTCCAAAGAAAGACTGGCTCAAGAAGGTGAGAGAGTAGGAAAAGAGGCTAGGGGAAGTAGCTCAGTTGGTGGAATGCTTGCCTAGCTTTTTGAAGACCTGGAGTCTACCCCTAGCATCATATAAACTGGGCATGGTGGTGCACACCTGTGATTCCAACACACAAGAGGTAGAGGCAGGAAGATCAGGAGATTTGGATAGTTCTGGGTTATACATCCAGCTAAATGACATCTTGGGCTATATGAGACCTTCCATTTCTCTATAATTCCTGGATTTTCTATTATGAAAATACAGTATACAGGTCAATCTGGGCAGTGGTGGGGCACACCTTTAGTCCCAGCACTTGGGAGGCAGAGGCAGGCAGATCTCTGTGAGTTCAAGGCCAGACTGGTCTACAGAGCGAGTTCCAGGACAGGCTCTAAAGTAATACAGAGAAACCCTGTCTCCAAACAAAACAAACAAAAAAGATATTCCTCATAAATATTAAGTAACTACTAGTTTATTAAATCCCAGTTAAGATAGAGTATAGGCCTTGGTACATGAGCTCTTCAAAATTCTATTTACAATCCCAAGGTAATCAATGGAGCTATAAAGCCATGGTAGAGCATTTGCTTAGTCTGTGTGAAACCCTGAGTCCCAAACACCAAAACAGCAGAAATATTGGTCTAATACTCACCTCAAGTTCATTCAGGCGCTGGACTCTGGGAGTGAAACGGAAGGTTTTTACTTCGCATGCAAATGGAGGTTGCCAATCCTAAATGGAAAGAATTACTCTGGTAATTTAGAATGGATTTGCTAGGAATCACAGGAACAATATATTAGTGAGCTTAAATCTTCACTATAAAGACAAAGATTTTTTTTATTTTTATTTATTTATTGGTTTTGCTTGTTTGTTTGCTTTTTCAAGACACAGTTTCTCTGTGTAGCCTGGCTGGCCTCGAACTCAGAGATCTATCTGCCTCTACCTCCCAGTGCTGGGATTAGAGGCATTCATGACCATGGCCTGACAAAGAGCAATATGTTTATAAAAAGTTTTTATTTTAATATTACTTGGAAAAGCAATTCTCAAGTCTTACCATCCCACAGTATACAATTACAGTCTCTAAGGTTATCCAGGAAGAATACAATGAGCTTGTCAAACACAAAACAGTGTCCAATAAACAATAGGCTTATCAAGTAAAAGTTAAAAACAAAAACAAAAAAACAGAACCCCCAGTGACTGGGTATGACACATGTCAGTAATTCTAGTACTCAGGAAGAAGAGGCAGGATCAAGAGTTCCAAGTCAGCCTAGACTACATAGCTTGACCATCTCAACAGCAACAAAAAATCATCTTTGTACTTGCTAGAAAATAGATTGCAAATGTCCACATTCAAAAATTGGTTCTACTCTTCACAGGGCATCGGGATCTTGTTTAAACAATATCCAACTGACCCTGGTGCTGATTTTCCCCCGCAGCAACAACCAAACTAGGTTTTTCTCCCATGTTGCTGGGGATTGAACCCAGGGCCTTGCAACATTCTCCCCACCCCAACATCATTATTTGGAAAGCACTAGTCTAATGAATAAAAAAGAAAAAAACTTTTGACCTTGAGCGTATCACTCAAACTCTTAGGGAATTAATTCCACTCATAAGAGGGTACTATCTGCTTTCCTAACCTTAAAAAGTGAGGCTAATTGACGGGTGGTGGCGGACTGCCTTAATCCCAGCTCTCAGGAGAGAGAGGCCTTGGATCTGAGTTGGAGGCCAGCCTGGTCTACAGAGTGAGTTCCATGACAGCCAGAGCTACACACGGAGAAACCAAACAAAGTGAGGATAATTAACCAATTTGAAGGCAAACTTGATTATTTATATGACAACTCTGAAATCTTAACATCAAGAGATTTCAACGTGCCGGGCGTTGGTGCCTTTAATGCTGCCTTTAATCCCAGCATTCGGGAGGCAGATGCAGACGGATCTCTTGAGAGTTCGAAGTCAGCCTGGTGTACAGAGCGAGTGCCAGGTCAGCCTTCAAAGCCACAGAGAAACCCTGTACCCAAAGGAAAAAAAAAAAAAAAAAAAAAAAGATTTCAACGTTTTCCTTCATGCCCACTTATTGACCAATTATTTGTACACCTCTATATTTTAAAAAATAATTCATTAATGCTCTTTTATCCTCCCAAGGATGTCCTTTCTTGTTGCAGTAGTAATTAGCTTGGGGGTTCTAGTTCAGTGACATCATCATGGCAGCAAGTCCATCTCGGATTACATTTTAAGAAACCTGAGTAGTGGCCTGTGAAGGTCTGATAAACTGAGCATTAGCAGGCTCGGGCACAGAAATAGCCCACACAAGTGGAGTTTTTAGTACGGAAACACAGTGATTGTGCATGAGCTTAAAGGCATGACGCGTCACACACCTTTCCTAGAAAGGGCCCGAAGCCTGGTGACCCTTAACTCCGACCCAAAGAACAGTATTCGTGCCTAAGTAAGTTCTGGAAGTTAAAGTTCCCAGAGACACCGCTTTCTGTCGTCTGGGGGTGGACCTGAGAGCTAGGGAGATGGCTCAGGCGTCAGGCCCAAGCCCGACAATCCGAGTTCGAACCCTGAGACCCACAACGCAGAAAGAGAATCGACTCCCACAAAATGTCCTCTGACCTCTCCGCGCGCGCGCACCCACGTACA